AGCAGTCACATGACATATTGGATGTTTATTGTCAAAGTTATCTGAATCATAAAAGTGGATAATATCATCATCAAAAAGGAAAAAACAAATCGTAATCGTTTACGCATACACGTGTTTGAACATTTCTAAAGCTATTCTAGAAAGTCAACATCGGTCCTTTCTTCTTCAATGTGTTTATCCTGTTTTGGCAGTTGCTTTGGACTGTCTCGACTTTGATTCTTCCTACTTATGAATATAGTATCACCGCTGTTCTTACTGTCATTAACTACATATACTCCAAATCAATATGGTAAATATTTAGGGATTTTTGTCACTGAAAAAATGTTTATATACAATCAGTTTAAACCCCTGGCTGAGGTTGCATAGATAGATCATGCTCAGCTACATTTAGGTAAAGTCAACGCTATTAACTATTGAAGACATACACCACTTTGGTTCGAAGCCCGACCACTGGAAAATTAACATTTCGACATCGCCAGGAACAAAGGACCGACACGTAGTAATACGTGACTAATCTGGATCATTTCTGTGAAACCAAGATACCTCTGTATAATTCAAAAAAAAAAAAAACATACACCGACGTTCTTACCGGTAATATCATAGCGTGTAGACGAAAAAAACCATGCATGTCATCGTCAAGCGCTTCATCCCCCAAAAATAAAGCAAAATTAAGATGAAACTAAATTAAAGTCTCATTCAATTTATATTCTGGTTTATATCTCAGAATATAATGCTTAGATTCGCATTTAACAATAATAAGACAAAAGTCATCTCCATCCATCTTTGCATGTGTCTTCTTTTTCTACTAAAAGAAAACTAATTTGGTATCTTACAACAATCAAATATCCAAATTAGACAATTCAGTTTATTTTGAAACCACATTTCCGAAATTCGAAATTCGTTTTCTCGTTGATGTTTTTGTGTTATCTAGGCAGCTCTTTCTAGATCGGGCTTGTTAGTGAGCCGATATTGATATTTTGTTACCAATTGAGAAAACTGCACTGGTCTTAATATAACCAAATGGAACACGAGGTGTGGCATGCATGAACCAAAACAGAGAAATCTCTATAATATTATTTGAGAAGTCAGTTTCCTACGTGTCGCGCTCACGTTAACTCTCGCGATGGTTGATTACATAGATACCCTTAATGAATTGTTAGATTTTAAGTTTATTATTAACTTTTTTTATTTATTTTCTTTTTTACTTTTTCCAAATAACACATATAAAATATAGGAAATATTTCTAAAATTTTAAAACAGATTTAAAAACGAAAATTTATGTATATAATATGACTTTATTAAAAAGGAAAGTTCACAAAATAGTAATATATCCCATTATTATATATTTTTAAATAACATATAATATATTTTAAAAATAATAAAATATATATGTTCATGAACATCCAAAATTTATCAGTTACACTTTATTTTCTAATATTTGTAGAAATCAAAATATAATTTGATAAATAGTATGAAAATACTTGTATATTTAAACGATAAATAAAACTAATTTGATTTGACTTACCTAAAATAAGGAATAAATAAATATTATGACAATAAATGTATATTTAAGCGATAAATATAACTAATTTTATTTGACTTAAATAAAATAAAAAGTAATTATACTTCAATTTTAACTCAATATACTCACAACATGAATGACTTGACTAATCTAATTTATATCCAAAATTAAACATCTAACTATACTAAGAACATATAATTTTATAGTAATAATAATCTATTTAATTTTATACATATAAATTAGAGGTTGACTCAAAGCATATTAAAAACAAAAAAGAAATATTAACCAATTACAATTTATTCTTTTGTACAATTTATATATAGGCATGAGACTTCAAAATATTATCATTATATTCATTTATGTAGTTTTAAATCAAACACTTCAGCTTATTATTTATTTTAGTTTAAGCACAATATATATATAAAGTTATATATAATTTAACTATAATATATTTACATATCTAAGAATATATTTACATATCTAAGACAATAACCAACCGAAATGAAAATAAGAAATTAATCATAGTTTATTATATTTACAATAAAAAATATTATAGCTGAATTCGAAAAATAAATATTATCCGATATACCAAATTGATAACCAAACCAACTATTGATCCAAAAATAACTAAACCGACAATAATATATCCAAAGTCATATGTATAATTAGAATAATATAATATTTAATAATATAAATTATACATATAAATTGATACAAAACTAAAACTAAATATCAATTAATTATTATAAAATTTTATTTTTATGGATATTTATACCCGTGCATGAGCACGGGAAAATCACCTAGTTAATAGTAATTAACCCAACACATTTCAAAGAGCTGTGTTCTCATAAATATAACGACAGTGTCCGAACGTGTGACCAACTAGCTACTCATTCAAACTGTATATGATAAAACCAAGGGTGGACCTAGCTGCAATGGAGGGGTGGCAGTTGACCCAGTGAAATGGTCAGAATAAAAATTGTAAGTGCTTTTCTCGAGTAATTGGTAGTTCAAGTGGTAATAACTTCACATTGCACCCATTGGTTTCTGTTTCACGATGTAGTCTCTTAAACTCATATTGCCCACCCCTTTAAATTTGATCCCTCAATTCTGTGAAATGACTTTTGAAAATTTTGCCGCCCAATACAAAGAGAGAAAACAGAGTTACCTACTCAAACATAACGCGGCAATATAAGTGAAGAGACTGGTCAGGTAGGTGACTAACGAGAAAATGCATGTTGACTATATATTTTAACGGTCCAAGTTCAAAACATCTAATTTTGTTTTATTTCTTTTTCTCTTTGAAGAAACAAAATAACAGATTGAACAAAGAATCTAATGGAAGAGAAACGTGCATGCATAAGTTGCGGAAAATACTATAATTGGTGAGGTAGTTAAGGGCATGCCGTTTTCGTTGAATGTTTTGCTTAGAGTACGTTACCCAAACCATTTTTTTCCATTTATTTTGGGGGGGTTTCTATGTGGTTATCATACATTTTATGCTTTTGGTTTTGGCTCAAACATACAGATTTCCACAACCACCACACAATTTATAACATTTAACAAACCCATCATAGCAAAGATAACAATGCTAGTGTCAATTTTGAATATGTTACCTAACTCTGAGCAATCAATTTCTAACAAGAAAATTATACTAATCATTATTAAGATATATCGGGTTTCAATATTAGTTCGGGTACGTATTTTAGATGGAAAATTAATTGGATATCACTCTTATCTACAACGGCTGTTGTAAATTTGTAATTGATATTTTCTTGTAAAATTCGGGATATTTTCTGAAGGAATTAGAACCATATTTTCAGACGATTCCTGCATAATGAAAATTGTACTAGTGGTGGATGAGCTCATTAATTAAAATTGTAGATACACCACAGAAAGAAAACGTCCCATGGTGAAATATTATTTATTGCAAAAATCACATGCCCTCCAATAATTCAACTTGCCAAACTTTGGTTTAACATTTATATATGAACAACATTCATCATCTCCTATCAGTTGATCTCACAAAACTAGTTCTCTTAATATGTATTGTTTATACTGATGAGGCATGTATATATGATACATCTAGCCTAGATGCGACGACATATACAATGGTACTAGTTACAATTTTTGGGAACAAAAAAATGATCATTTTAATGTGTGGAGAAGTGCGTATAAGGAGAAGACCAGTAATATGTTGGTAGACAAATGCTACAATAAAACTGCATACATAAAAGCATTTCGAATGATGTTACCACTATTGAAGTCTTTAGTATTATTAAACTAATTTTTTCTGAATAGTTAAGGATTCTAATCAAAAATGTTCGCCAAACAGTATTCTCCATTTTGGAGTTTTTTTTTAAAAAAAAGTATTAAATTTTAAAACATGTGAAATTAAAATTTCTTAGAAATGCCTAAATTTGTTTTTGTCACAGATATATCCTATTAAAAAAAGTGACCAAAATAGAATTTATTAAAAAGTGTAAAAATACATTTATACCCCTCCGATTAACTAATCTAGACTTAATGTATATTTAGAGTTATGGGGTTTATGGGTTAGGGTTTAAATTTATTGTAAAAAGTTAAAAATTTCAACAAACGGACGTTGTCACGTCATTAAAGATCAAATCCTTAAATTCTATAGTTAAAAACTATTCCTTACATATACAAATTAAATATTATTATTTAAATTGGATTTGCTTAAGAATACGTGTTAAAAATTTGGTTAAATCCCGCGTTGCGGGTGGTCTAACCATCAAATCAGATGACCTAAAAAAGACCTTCTAGGTCGGTATGCTATATCCCGGCTTGGATGATTGATTTATCAACGTTTCACTTGGTCTGATTCCGGTTTTGAATTTAAGTAGGTTTGAGAGATTGTTATCATTTGAGGAGGAATTTACTTATATGGGCTCCTAAATATTTGTTTGCATGGACTTTCATATAGCCCATCAATGAACGAACAAGATCATCATTAGATACCTAACTAAAGCTAAGGAGGGCCACTTAAAGTTTAATGACCCGAAAACAAATTTATTGGCCCTTTTAAAATTAATTATACTTTCAGTTAAAGCCTTAATAAGCCCACATGAAAGGCTTTTTACTGAAAACATTTTCGTGAATCAAATCGTAAACTGATTTAAGAAAGAAACTTATTCGAATGGTTAAGATAACTAATTCAAAGATTATGATTAGAAGAAAGTGTATATATATATTAGCTTGCAAATTACAATGATAGAGCTGCTTAATTGATTCTAATCAGACCATCCACGATTACAGTTGAAGATTCTTTTACTTTGAAATAATCAATAAATGTTTACTGAATTTTATAGAGAAAATAACAAAAGGTATGCGAAAAAAGAAAAAGAAAAAAAAGTGGCGCGCACGTGGTTGGAAACTTTTTTTTTTACCTTTTCTTCGATTCGTCGTTTTTGAGCCGTCCATTTCGTAACAGATCAGACTTGTTCGGTTATCATTGGTTTGCGAGGAAGGAAGGGGCCGCGAAACCCTAATTGCATCGAATCGAATCGCAGAAAGTTGCTTATCCTTTTCCCCTCTTTCAATCTCTCACCACTTTCACTGCCTAACCAACAAAAAGGTCGAAACTTTCCTTATATATATTCCTTCTCCACCACCACCACTTTAGGGTTTTTATCACTCGATTATCCCAACCATTTCCCTCATAGATGGCGGAAGAGAGAAACGGCGACGCGACGGTTCAGGAGGATGAGAGTTTCTTCGATTCCGATCAACAGAAAGACGGTGGAAACTCGACGATCGGAGACCTCGAGACTCAGAATCAGGAATTGGAGAGGGAGAACGGTGAGATCAGCAAGAGGATCGAGACTCTGACGGCGGAGATCGAGGAGATGAGAGGAGCGGAGACGAAAGCGAGGCGGAAGATGAGCGAGATGGAGAGAGAGATTGATAAATCGGAAGAGGAGAAGAAGGTTCTTGAAGCTATAGCTGAGAGATCCTCAGAGCTCGAGACGGAGAAGACAAGGCTTCAGCAAGAATTGGTTACGGCTCAGAGGGAGAGGGAGGAAGCTGAGACGGAGGCGAAGAAGCTAAGATCTGAGATTTCTCAGAAGGTGAATGGAATCAAGGAGTTGGAGAAGGAGGTGAATAGTCTAAGGGCGTCAAAGGAGGAGAACGAGAAGAGGATGAAGGAGTTGGAGGCAAAGCTTGGTGCTTTGGAGGTTAAGGAGTTGGAAGAGAGGAACAAGAAGGTAAGAGCAGAGGAAGAGATGAGGGATAAGATTGATAACAAGGAGAAGGAAGTTGATGAGTTGAAGGAGAAAGTCAAGAGTTTGGAAACGAGTGTTGAAGAAGGGAAAGTTGAGTTGGAGAAGTGGAGAACAGAGAAGAATCTTGTGGAGGAGTCTTTGAGGGAGTCTGGGAAGAGAGTTGAGGGTTTGGAGGCGGAGATTGTGGAGTTGGAGAGACAGATGGATGAGTCTGAGAAGATGATTAGTGGATTGAAGAACATGGTTGAGCCGGTTGATGGCGTTGAGGTTAGGTCATGGTCTCCGAGCTCTGTGAATGTTGGTGGTTCTGGTGGGGTTATGGCTGCTGTTGCGGTTGCTGTGGCGGGAGCTGCTGTTGTTTTCTATGTTTACAACTCGAAGAGGGCTTAATTCTCGAGGTAGAGTTTTAATGTTTGTTTTTTGGAGTGTTTCCCCTTACGATACCTTTCTTGTTTTTGAGAATGTGATTGATGTCACAAAACTTAGTAGTGTTTCTTTAATATTGTGTGTTTTTGTTTACATCTTTCGCTTACAAATATTCTCTCGGCAACAATCAAAGAGATTGAAAAAATAACCATGTGGTTAAGCACAGAGGAATTTAAAAGAAAGGATATAAAACATAACTTGAAAAAACTGGGTGGGGTTCTTGTTTATCTCTTCTCTGTTAGTAGATCTTTCAACTAGTAGATGATGATGATGATGTCTTGAGAAGATCAAGAATTTCACAGCAGCTCTTCCACCATGGCGTCTCTGTCTCACCGGACGCTAGGAGTGGCTACAATTGTAAAAGAAACAAGCATAAGAGTCTATCTGATTTGAAGTTTTCTTTTGTTGTTTTGATTCCCACCTGATTGTCTGCGGATACGGCGAAGTCACGGTTTGCTGCGGCTGTGGCTGAGGAGTAAGCGCTACCGGCAAACTGCGAAACAGCTCCAACGATCTTCGTGGAGACTTCACCTTTCTTCTCCTCCAAATTGTGAAGCATAGATTTGGCTCCATCTATGCCTCTTGAGACAACGTTTTCCACTGCATCTTTTAAGACATCGGTTTTAGGGGTTTCAACAGAGGCGGTGACGGTTTCTGTGGCTGCACCGAGAGCAGAGGTGGCCTTTTCCAATACGGAGTCCGCCATTCTTATATTTGCTCCTCTGCCTCTGTTGGTTGTTGACGCAGGTGGTAATGAGAAAACAAGAAGAGAGAGATATATAATGATGAGGAAGCCAAATTTGAGCTGTCCAAATTGGCTGCAACTGTTTCAACGATCTAAAATTTGACTTGCTTTTTATCTAAAATCTTTAAGACTAATATAGGATTCTGATTAGTTTTGTTTGTGTGGAGAGGAGAAGAAGACATCATGTTGAAAACGATAAACTATTTATAAGCAAAGAAGTTACAGTTACAACTCACAATCATAATTAGAAAATTTTCAGGAAAGAACACCATTTTGAAAATCAAGGTTTGGGGTTTTATTAAGGCTTGGTTAAAGTTTAGTATGTAATCAGATTAATTACAGTAACTAGATCTCGACCCGCACAACCGTGCGGGTTTTATTTTCTATACTAAATCATTTTAGTTTATGAAACAAAATTTATCAATAAATTAATATAGTTTAGTATTATGTATTATCTAATTCTGTTATACCTGTGTTTATGTGATTTGTGATATTATTATTACTATTAAAAAAAAAATATGTATTCTTGTAACAAATTTTGTTTTGAAAACATAATTATGTAACAATACTATTTTAAATATTTTTATTTCTAAATTTGAAATATATATAAAATTTAAATCAGATTGGACCTACTGTTAAAAACTAAATCACATTGGTAATAGATAATTCTTTTTTGGTATACGGTTAGAAACATCAAAATTTTAACACTATAATACATTGTGCCTATAAAATATTACGGTGCAATTAGTTAGTCTGTAATTTAGATCTGATGTATATAATTTGTTTTATAAACGTAGCATACATATCGTGATTAATTAAACCCATTTGGTATAGTGCTCGTCGTTAGTCTAAAGGGTTAGTCAAAATTTGGTTTATATTGCACGTTCAGAATAATAACAATTAGTCTTTTTTTTTTTGACAGCAATAACAATTAGTCTAAACGGTTAGTCAAAATTTAGTTTATATTGCATGTTCAAAATAATAACAATAGGATAATGTATTGGTCTACAGACTGGTTTGATAATGGTTTACATCCTGATTATCTATAAACTGATTTTACATTTAATAAGGATTAAAAATTGGTGATGTTTACCATTCCTGTTTAGTAGGAGTTGATGGTTATATTAGTTATGATACATTATTAAGTCATGTTATTACTAATAAATAAATAATAACTGATTTCTAGTGAGGGTCCATTTTTAAAAAAATCACACATGAATCAAGGTTGTGACTTCTATTTTAATATATAAGATATATACACCAACCTTAAGCATGTCCTAGAACCGGTCCAAACTTAACCAAACTAAGCATTGATTAAACCGAAATTTAGACGTAAACCTTCGCTGCATCCAGTTAGTGGGCTTAACTTAAACGATTGAGTTGGGCTATTTTAATTTATTGATAACAACAAGTAACGCTTAGTGGGCTTAATCTATTAAAGCCCATCCGCCATTAAAGCTCGATCAAAGCTAAAACCCTCTTCCCTCCCTCTCCCAGTTGCATAGCCAGAGCCTGTTCTCCTCTCTCTCTCTCTCTCAGTAGATGGAGATGAATCATTCGTCGCGTTACTGTTATGAACCAGTGTTACGATGGGATCCTGAAGTTGAAGAATACTTCAATAAAGCTTATGGACCTGACCACTTTGCTCGTATTTCAAAGGCTCTAACGTACTTATCTTCTCACCTTTCTATTACTCTTTTGAATCATCACTCTTCTGGTGGATTCGGTTTTTCCTTATTAGCTTATTCAGTCCCTAGATTTCTCCTGAAATCAAAAATTGATTTGATTTCCTTTTACGTTAATTGTGTGCACTGCTTACTTAGCGTTGCTACATTTTGTTCAATTTTGCAATTTTTTTTGTTGGTTACATGTTAGGCGTCCATCTTCCTACTCGTGCATTCGGGTGAACACAGTTAAAACAACAAGTGATGCGGTTATTGAGAAGCTTACGAAGATATTAAACGAATCCGAGGATGGCTTGATGAAGCTTGTGCAATCCGATGGGAGTAGTAGTCCCATCTCCAAGTGTCAGATTCCTGGTTTGGAATATGTTGTTTTTGTTAAAGGTTCGGGTCCACATAGAATTGAATATGGCTCTGGGATTGAAAACACTCCCAAGGAGGTACTTGTGAGTAGGAAGTGTGCTGAAGCAGTTCTTAGAGGAGCTCAGGTAAATTCCATTATCTCTCATTAAAAACCTTTAATGGCTAGATACGGGTTTAAAATGATATTTATGGGGATTAACGTTTTTGATTAAGAGGTTTTTCTTGTTATCTAAGCTTCTAGTCTGTTTCTTTATTCTGGAATGGGTTTTTGTTGTAGGTCTATGTCCCAGGTGTACTGGCTTGCACTGCCCATGTTGAGAAAGGAGATGCAGTTGCTGTCTGTGTTGCTATGGAGCAACCTGGTGATGAAGGTGACTGGAGTGTTAATATGACTCGTGGGACCACCCTTCAGGGTCTACCCTCAGGCAAGAATCACAAATTCTTCCTTTTGTTTATTTATCAGAAGTTAAAACTTGTTGCAGCCAAATATGTCAAACAGTTTACTCTGTGAAATGCATTTATATATTAGCTTTTGTGTTGCCAACAATCAAACCTTGAAAAATACTTCCAAGTTTTTTTTTGTGTCACGTAAGAGATTTTGAACTTAAACAGTTGACATGTGCCGTAATGTTATTGTAGATCCTTTCTTTAGTGAACGCAGTGGACTATATATCGGCATGGGAACAGCTATGTTGTCAAGGGCTGGCATGTTTCGTGTTTTGCATGGAGTTGCGGTGGATTTGAACAATAGAGTTTTCAGATTGCCTTCTTTTCATAGTAACCTTCTTCTTTTGTCCTACGTTTACTATCTGCTTACAACAGTTTAGGAGTCTTTCTTATTTCATCGTGGGGTATTAATCTCACATTGTCGTTTTGGCTCCTTAGATGTACTCGAGGGGGAAATATTTCTTCAAAACCTGCCAAGTATTGTCGCTGCTCATGCTCTTGGTAAGTGAATTAATTTTTGTTCTGCGCCATACTTATACCTTCAGTTATGATAAACTTCTGTCGTGGCTGGCCAGATCCTCAGAAAGGGGAGAGAATATTAGATATGTGTGCAGCACCGGGAGGGAAGACTACTGCAATAGCTATACTTATGAATGATGAAGGAGAGATAGTAGCAGCAGATAGATCTCATAACAAAGTACAGTTTCTTTTTATTACATAACATTTTGAATTCCTCACATAATTGAATCAGACATGAATTCAACTTGTGCTTTTACTCGCTGACCTGTTTAGATTGAGTGCTAGAAACACAAAACAAAAGGGTATTGCAAAACTACCTGCTTTTTACTCCGTCTACTGTCTTTTAAAATGTAGGTGCTGGATGTCCAGAGATTGTCTGCTGAGATGGGCTTAACTTGCATAACAACATGTAAATTGGATGCGCTAAAATCTGTTTGTCTTCCAAACACACCCAGTGACTCAACAACATCAGTTACCGGTGACAACAGTTGTTCCATAACCAGCCATTCTGAATTATCATCAAAAGAGAAAATGGCATCTGATGCTTCTGGAAGATCTGAGGCTGAAAAATCGTGTGAAGAAAATGGTAATTAAGCTACTTTCTCTCCCTCGCATAGCGTGTTTTCTTCGAAATGTTAGCCTCTGTGTTTGCTAGGTGAAACTTGCCATATTTGCATTACCCTGTCCCCTTTGCCGGGAAGGACCTTAGTTATCATTTCAGCATCATACAGATTAAGAACATTACTGAATTGGCATCTGTAGTTCATCTTCTCGTGCCTGTGCTTGCGTATAATTGCAAAGCGCCATATATTAATTCCAGTTGTTTTAATAAATAGCTGAAACTAAATTTTTTGCATTATCATTCATATTTTAGCCAGCACTAAACAGCCAAATGGAGGGGATAACGTTAGCCAATCTGAAATTAGGAAGAGTAAGGGAAGGCTGAAAAATGGACGCGGAAGAACTCAAAGCCAAGGCGGAAGGGCTGGAAAATCAAAAGGTTTCCCGCCTAATAGTTTTGATAGAGTCCTTTTAGATGCTCCGTGTTCTGCTCTTGGCTTGAGACCTCGTCTTTTCGCTGGACTGGTAAGATAAATTCAAAACTTGAGCTGTCTGTGTAAACTTCTACTTGTGTTAACAACGTTTACTATCCTAGTATTTGTGTCAACATATGGATAGCCTTAGCTTAATCACTTGTATGTGGCAGATATATTGTTTCTAGTAGCTTTTTGAAGTAATATAAATACTGTTATATGTGAAGTCCAAAATATTTTAAAGTGTTCGTAGTAGTTCGGAGTAGAGTCTGTGTTTTCCTTCCTTAAGATTGTTCAGAATGTGCTGATTTGTGGAATGAATTTCCCCCTGCATTTCTTGTAGGAGACTGTAATATCGTTGAGAAACCATGGAAGGTACCAGCGGAAAATGTTTGATCAGGCTGTTCAATTGGTTCGCGTTGGTGGAGTTCTCGTTTACTCAACGTAAGTATGCAAACATTATTTAAGTTCGGAGTTTACATTATCCAAGCTATGCAGATGACGCAGTGATACAATCGAGTTTATATATTGAGAGTTAATATAATCTTACCTGTGGCTGTGGATGATTGTTTTCTATTTTGCTAGATGCACAATTAACCCTAGCGAGAACGAGGCAGTGGTTCGCTATGCTCTAGATAAATACAAATTTCTTTCTTTAGCACCACAGGTTTGGAACTAAAAAAACCGAGTATTTAAGAAACTGTTTGAAATCTTGCCATATGTTTCAATAGCATCTTGTTCTTGGTCCTAATGCATTTTCTTCATGTATTTTGCTGTCTTGTTCCAGAATCCTAGGATTGGAGGCCCTGGTCTAGTTGGTCGATGTGAATTCCCTGACGGATATGTCGAGTAAGTATCTATCTATACTAATTCTCACGAGAGTGATCTAACTAATATTCAGCCTAGCAGAACTTAGATAAAAAAAACATGTCTGACCTATTATGCAGGGAGTGGTTAAAACCAGGTGAGGAAGAAATGGTTCAGAAGTTCGACCCGTCAGCTGAGCTCGACACCATCGGGTTCTTTATAGCTAAGTTCAGTGTCGGCCCCAAGGATTAAGATCTCAAACTGCTGATTCCTAATCCAAAGACACTCCACCAAAAAAAAATGGTGGTTACATTACATTGTCATTGAACTTTAAGATGGTACTAGAACTTGTTTGATTTAACTT